TGAAATGGTTTATGAATAAGTCTAAAATGTATATCTACTTTCCGAGAAATATCATAAATCAAAGATTTGCTTAATTTGTTTTAAGAAAAAAAATCAATAGCTTACTCTCCCCTTTCCCTTTATCATTGCCTTGAACAAAATAATATAATTTCCATTTTGGAAGCTTAAAGCTTGTTGAATTTATATTTTGCAGAAACCAGAGTCCTATATTGTTTTAGGAGATGGATGAGAAGCAGAAATGTTTACCTTTATCAGAAGCATATGCAATAATATGACCTCAAATGAGGTCATATGCTTTAGCACTATCACATACCAATTACAGTCATGAAATCCAACCCCTGTTAATATGGGAAAAAATCCACCATTTCTTGTTCTATCTGCTTAATTTATCATTCCACAGAGCTTTGTTGAGAAGCCATTAAAAGAAATATTTCAATAATTGTTACCTAAGGCAACTTGCTTCATAGTAGTATGATTTTGACAACTCTGGACAGTCTACACTTAAAAAAAAAAAGATTTGTATCCCATCTTTTTTCCACATATAACTCAAGATGGTAAATATGCCTAGTGCTCTTTCCTACTCTATTTTCTATGCAACAACAACCCCTGTGAGGTAAGTTGGGCTGAGCCAAAGTGACTGCCCCAAAGTCACCCAGCTGCCTTTTCATGCCTAGGTGGGACTAGAACTCACAGTCTCCTGGTTTTTAGATCAACCCCTTAACCACCATACCAAAACAGCTCTCCTGGCCCAGTATAGGCCATCTACTACTCTTTAAGGGCAGGAATGGACAATATCAATCTTGTCCCACTCACAGCCCAGTGCAAATGCTTCCCACACCTGTATTTTCCAACATTAATTTAGAGCTGCTGTTTTCGAACTGCAACCATATTAGGCCAGTGGTGAAATCCAATTTTTTTACTACCGGTTCTGTGGGCGTGGCTTGGTGGGCATGGCAGAGGAAGGATACTGCAAAATCTCCATTCCCACCCCACTCTAGGGGAAGGAAACTGCAAAATCCCCATTCCCTCCCCACTCCTGGAGGAAGGATATTGCAAAATCTCCATTCCCACCCCACTCTGGGGCCAGCCAGAGGTGGTATTTGCTGATTCTCCAAACTACTCAAAATTTCCACTACCAGTTCTCTAGAACCTGTCAGAACCTGCTGGATTTCACCCCTTCAGAGGGGATGGCTTCTATTGCCTTGTTCCAGTCTAGTAGCAGGTCCAATGCTGATTGGTTTAAGTGTCTAACACACCCTGCTTCTCCAGTGGCTGATCATTGCCTTATGAAGTTCTTTCCTGGACTTCTGGTGTTTGCATTTTTTTAAATAATCTAGCAGTGATCCAGTGATGGAAAGTTAAGTCAGTGAACTAACCTCTCCGCTAACCATTCATGTATGCCTTCATTTGTGAATTCATGTTACATTCACCCTTTTCAACTGCAGTTTCTGTCTAGATTAGAGGAAGCATATTATCTTTGATTTTTCCCTCTGTGTATTATACTGCAAAGCTTCCCTTCCTTGTCTTTTAAAATATATTTAAGAAATACTTTGACAGGTAGTCCTCGACTTACAACCATAATTGAGCCCAAAGTTTCTGTTGCTAAGTGAGACATTGGTTAAATGGGTTTTCCCCATTGTACGACCTTTCTTGCCATACTTGTTAAGTGAATCACTGCAGTTGTTAAATTAGTAACACAATTATTAAGTGAATCTGGCTTCCCCATTGACTTTGCTGGTCAGAAGGTTGCAAAAAGGGAACACATGACTCCAGGAAACTGCAACAGTCATAAATATGAATCAGTTGCTAAGTGTCTGATTTTTGATCATGTGATTGTGGGGATGTTGCAATGGTTGTAAGTGTGAAATTTTGGTCATTCACTTTTTTTCAGTGCTGTTATAACTTTGAACGGTCACTAAGTGAATTGTTGTAAGCCAAGGACTACCTGTATGGTATTGTATTTCCGTGAGGCTGAACTATCTCGATGTAACATTTCTATGGACCTATAGAAGAACATAGGATCACAAAGAACCACCTATTCTTCATTGCCTTAACCATTGTAGCCACATTGGAGTCACAATGGTACCATAAGATCGAGGGGAGGAAAGGTCTGATTCAGTGTCAAAGGAAATAATTTGGGAAGGAGACATGAATGCAGCTATTGACACAGATTTCTGGAAAAGTCAAGAAAAGGCATGGAGACTAGTGAGCAAGGAATAATTCTTTAAAGCAGGGGTCTTCAACCCCTAGGCCGCAGCCTGGTACTGGGCCATGGCCTTTTTGGAACTGGGCCATGCAAGCAGTGGGCAAGCACTGAAGTGTCCCCTCTTCCTCTCCTGCTGCCACCATTGCTGGTCCACAACGGTGAGTTTTAAAGATTTTTACTACCAGTTCTGTGGTTATGGCTTGGTGGGCATGGCTTGGCTTCTCTGTGGGAGCCCCAGCCCTGTGGAACGAACTGCCCCCGGAAATTCGTAAGATCTCCGACCTCCGGGTGTTTCTCTGCGCATTGAAGACCCTGTTGTTCCGCCAGGCCAGACTATCAACACAATAGTTTTAAATTGGGGTATTTAAATTTATTGGGGTTTTAAATCTGAGCCACTTTATTTAATTATTTTAAATTTTATATTGTTGTTTTGTCTGTGTTTTTAAATAGGCTGTACACCGCCCTGAGTCCTTCGGGAGAAGGGCGGTATACAAATAAAATTATTATTATTATTATTATTATTATTATTATTATTATTATTATTATTGGCTTGGTGGGCGTGGCAGGGGAAAGATACTGTAAAATCTCCATTCTCTCCCCAATCCAGGGGAAGGTTATTGTAAAATCCCCATTTCCTCCCCATCAGCTGGGATTCGGGAGGCAGAGAATAGATAGGGGTGGGGCCAATCAGAATTTTTATCGGTTCTCTGAACTACTCAAAATTTCTGCTACCGGTTCTCCAGAACTGGTCAGAACCTGCTGAAACCCACCTCTGGTCCACAAGCTGGAAAGGTTAGGGACCGCTGCCTTAAAGGAGACAACAGGTGGGATGGTCCACGTGGAAGCCAACCAATAAGGACAAAGAGCAGAAAAATGACCACTCAGGGGCCGTGCTTGACTGAATATCAGCCCAACTCAGGACCAAGCCACTGCAATTCAGGCTAGCATTGTTGAAGGACTTAAGAAACCTCTGGGAGCATTCTGGTAGACAAGCAGCTTAGGCTGTCATGTAGAATTACTTTATGTCACACAAAACTACAACTTTAGATGGAAGGAAGGAAGGAGAGATTTCCCTCCATTTCATTATGCTTCGACCTGCAGAAGAATGGCAGACTGTATTTTATGATTCCATACAAGTGCAAAGCAAACATAAAAACGTGCACTTTCATACCCTGAAGCTCTTTCTTCTCTCTCTCCCCCCCTCCTTTCTTTCACATTTCTAGTCCCAAAGCTTGCAATGATACGCATAGTGAAATATGGGCTTTGCTTAAAACAGCCTCAGAAGCAAGGCAGGGATGAATAACAGTTATTAAGATTCATAGCACAAAATGAGGCTTCAGTGTTCAACATGGCTATCATGAGTTCTTCATAATCAGTAAAAGCAGGATTTATTACGCTGAATATATGCTTTGGTGAATTATAAATAATTCAAGGTTCAGATTTTCATCTATATACAGTAGAATTTAGATTTTTTTTTTTAAGTACAGCTCTGATAATGCGGGTTCTCAGCCTTTGCGCTGTTTCTGGCAGCTGTATGATTAGTTTGCTAAGAGACTATTTACATATGCCTAAATATGTTTTGATCTGTACAATCTATGGACTCTTCCCAAGAGAGGGCACTAGCCAATATCAGTATCAATGCAGTATATAATTGGGAAGATGCTGTGTTTGGGCACTGCTCTAACAGTGGGTCAAAGACCTCACTGCCCACTTTTGGAATATCATTCTTGACTAAACTGTCTCTCATAACATAATTATGGTTACTTTCATGATCTTCTTGATGTAAAACTAATAAAACTAATGTGTGCACGAGAACATTCCTCATTGTTGCTCAAAAATGCAGATATTTTTTCTGTATACAAAGGAAGGCAGACTTCTGTATTATGACTGGGAAGCATGCAGCATGTTAATAGTAGTATTGAATTATGTTGCATGGTGTTGGTTAGACTGCGGCATTGAAATTTGTTTCCACTTCAGATTTTTTTTCTTGGCAACAGACAACTGTTGCTTATTCATTTTTCTGCAACGATAACAATTTGCCAAACAACAAATTGTGCCAAATCCAGCAATTTGCCAAATTGTCAGTGTTCCAATATTTTCTGTTATTCTCCTGTATGTATTTTTTTTTTCTTGATCTGAGAACCAGGATCACAATAAAATTGAAGTGTTAGTATATGAAGGATTTTACAGTTTATTGCATATTTTAGTTGTAAGTGTCCTCATAGCTTCTGCCTCCTTTATTTGTTTGAATAGTGAAGGTGAGTGACAGTTCTCCTTCTTTCAAAACTAGCAATCTCTTTAAATACACATTTCTGTGGTAAAGGTGCCATCAGATAATACAGCAGTATGATAAGCTGCATATACCTGTGTTTTAATTCCAGCCGATTAGCAAAATTGTTATGTAGATTTTAAAAGTTTTATTACAATATGATATGCTGCATATAACCCGTGTTTTAATTCCAATTGATTGGCAAAGTTGCTATGTAGATTTTAAGAGTTGTATTACTCTTTGAAAAGATTCCCAAGGAATCTAGCAGCAGCTATTTAATAAATTATGAATAATATACACAGATCTGGACGGTAGGTATATTGTATTTCATAAGGTGATGTTTTCTGTTAGTTGAAGATTGTATTTTAAAATGGAGCATGTGTTGCCTTTAAAAAGAGAGCATTTCTTTTTTTCAAAGAGAGTTATAATTTCCATGTGCAAATTGATGCAGATTTATTGATTGATTCCTTTAATCAAGGAGCACTATGGCTTCCATGTAATAACATTATCTATTACAATTTACAGGAATGCATTTCCTGCTGTGAAGGGATGATCTGCAATGTAGATGTACCTACAAATCACACAAATGCTGTTTTTGCGGTACTGCATGCCCGGAGGTCATCAGGAGGTAGCAGACAAACTATTAGCATCTCCTTGCTGGTCATACTCATCATAGTTTTCAGGTTATGACATGACTCTCTTCAGGCAAAAGGAATTTGTTGTCTGGAGTTACATGAAGACAATCTATGTTGAAGAAGGAGTTCTAAGAGAACTGTTGTATGGATAAAAGCACTGCTGGGTATTTGAAGGCTGCTGGTCATAACATGGTAATGAAGACACTCTCAGATATTGGTGCCAAGAAAATCAAGCACAATGGCCAAATATTATGTCAACTTGACTAGTTACCAGAAACATCAGAATTCTTTGTGTGGAACATAGAACAATTTGTGCTTTGGCACATTATTGTAGCAAGTTACTACTGTACAACTTTGAAGTATTAAAATTGTTCCTCACCTGAAATAATATGTTTACGGAAGTGATGATACAATATTCTTTTATATCAAAATTCTTCCTAATTTTGAGGGATCCCTATCTACCTGCAATCCTGACCCATATCTGATGCTGTTCCAACTTTTTGCTGTCCCTACTGTGGGGTCCTTTATTCTGAATGCTACAGTAGCCACTGTAGTAGCATCATCGGATTGAGGGGGAAAGAGATGGAAATGGTAAGATTTGATAGTCCATTTTGGGAATGGAGACATCAGCATGTGTCTGACTATGCAAGTTTGACTTGATGCAATAAGTAAATAGTTATTATTAGGAGTTCTTCAAACAGGTTGCACAGTTAGCTCCACACCTCAAATATCTATATAACAAGACTGTGCCTTTTCTCCTCTTTTCCTTGCTGACCATGATTTCCAAACACTATCACTATGGTAGGATTACCTCTTTCTGGTGAGTTGCACATGCTGGAGGACTGGGGAATTATCCAAAACATCAGTGGTGGGATTCAAATAATTTAACAACCAGTTCTCTGCCCTAATGATTTCTTTCAACAACCAGTTTGCCAAACTGCTCAGAAAGTTAACAACTGGTTCTCCTGAAGTGGTGCGAACTGACTGAATTCTACCACTGCAAAACATCTAGGGAAATAGAGAGTTCAGAACAACTGGTTGGTTTGCTCCCCACTGAGAAATATGAACAGAAAAGAGTTATCATAGTTAAACATAGAATAATTGGCTTTCAACTCTGCTTGAAGTGCACAACATTCAAAAACTAGTTTCCTAAGTGATCCAAGACAAGTTAATATGAATCACCCTTGAGATGTAGCTCAGTCTGTGAGGGAAACAATATGTGTGAAAAAGATTTCAAAGGTCATGGAATTTAACACTCTATTCTGTTAAGACTTGAAACTGTACAAAAAACAATTGAGATTTGTACTGCAGTGTGTTGAATCAATTTTAAATAACAAACTGAAGTTCATGAAATTTCATGAATTCATGGAAACAGAATATGGGCAAATAAATAAGAATTGGTACAAATAATAACAAATAAAGAAGGCTGGAATAACTGTTTAACTGTTTACTGTAAGCCTTTTAGATGATAAGCTGTGTGCCCATGTGTTTATAAATATTCTTGTTCTTTTTCTCTGTCTTCAGGAAATCAAGTTTACAAATGTGTTTTATGCATAGTAAATACCACATTAAACTAGTAACTTTTCATTGGAAATCAGTGTTACATGTTCCTTTAATCATAACATCTGAGAGAAGTTGAATTTTACCTTTTTCTAAACTTTTACCAATTTCCTCAAATTGTTAAGCAGTACCAAAGCTAAGGGTTATTGTTCTCCTTCTACCAACTCTAGATATCCGCCCAAGATATCTTAGTACATTTCTTGCATCATGTAGGAGCTAGAATGCAAGCAAAGTGTTGCTTAGAGTAGGCAGTGTGCCTTTGTTTTCTGTTCCTTGGCTGTCTCAACTGGATCCAAAAGCCTTGAAGTTTAACAATAGTTTTAAGCCAAATGAAAGGATAAAGAAAGCAATTCATTTAGAGATAAAATTTCAGCTTTGGGTTGAAAACAAACCTGGTTTGTTGGTAGCAGCTCCATGCAGGATTAAGGTCACAGTCTCTTACATGAAATTTGTGGAGTTACTACCAGTCATTTAAATAATGCCAAGTTAGATGGACTTGAGGTCTTAAGTTAGCGCAAGGTAATATTCCATGTTCCTTCCTAGAACTTTGATTTGTAAGGTCAATGTCATTCATTCCAACTCACTATCTGTTAGTTACATTGATTTCAAATTATCATTACTAGCAAATTGCCTATTATGTAATCTTTATTTGAATATTTCTTGATCCACAGTTTAGAATCATATCTAAATTAAATCCAAAGGAGCGCAAATTGATTTCTGAAATTTCAGAATTTTTGCTCAGCCCAATATCTGAACCCCAAATCTTCAGGAACATCAATTTATTCAGCCTAACAAACTGAAAAGGGAGAGCTATATATTGTGCAAAAGAGATTGGGTATTTCAAAGGATCTCTTAACAAAAGCAACTGTTGCAAATCAACTAGATTCTAGAAAGTGTTGTGATTTTAATTTGAGTCTTAAAAAGTAGTCATTTTAGAGATACATTGTCTTCATCATGAGACATGGTAAACTAAGTTGCCTCAATTAATTAAACATGCTAAGTCATAAACCATGATTGATCAAAAACAATGATTACTTTATATATGAAACCAACATCAAATTTAGCTTGATATATTGACTCAGCCTATTCTGGATACAATTTTTATGGACATTTTAATGGGCAAATTGTTTAGCTTTGTATCAAATCCAAATGCAAACTAAGTCTCCTAACCAGCAGGAAGTATTCAATATAGATTAGAACCTTGTGAATCCTACATCTTTATCAGATAACCAAATTATTTATTTTCCTTGTCCTATTTTCAAAGAGCAAATTAAGATGGCTCTACTTGGGCATTACCATCGTATTGACATGCCATAAATTGTCTATATGCAAAGATTCATCTGGATAGTCTTTGTTATTATGTGAAAATGTCTGTGTGTGCATTTGTGAATGCATTTATGATATGTTTACTCTTGACCCCATATATACAGTACATACACCATACATTTTCCCAGGTGAATAATGCTGCAATACAAAATAAACTTTGAAATAAGATCTCTGTTCTTTGCAGTAAGCAATTCTCCTTGATGTTCCCCACCATGTTCGTTGCTAAAAGATGAAAGTTTATATTTTTAAAAAGAATGTTCCTAGCATAATTGATAAAAAATATGGATGAGAGCTTTACCTACTACTGTATTCTTAGAACAAATATTTTCAACAGTCCTTTCTGAACAAGTTCACTAAATATGGGCACAGTAATTGCTGATAAGCAATTTCATGCATTTATATCAGTGGACTCATCAAGGTGAAGTGAAACTCAAAGACCCTGTGATAAATTATTTTTCAATTAGTGTTCCAGTTCAGTAGAAATTAAGTCTATTAGTGTAGTAATTACATTCAGACAGGATCACTAAATGGATTATTGCAATTATTTCCTTTTTACTGGAGAAATTTTCGAACAGCAAAATATCTAAATTGTTAGCTGTCTGCTGAATAAACCAATTGAGTGGAACACTCAAATCCTAGTGTAATCCAAGACAGTCATACAGTAGTTACATCTTTTAAATCTGCAAACCTACATATCCATGGTGGGGGAAAATACTTTTGAGCATGGGTAACCATGGAAAGTGGGATTATTAGTAATTTTTGGAATTCTAGAGGAGAACACAGCTAATCTGGCCATTAATTCCAATGTCCTGCTCAGTGCAGGATTCTAGATTTAAACAAAAGTACTATTGTAAAGAAGAGTTGCTTGAAAAACATGGCTATGCATCAGATACACTTGTCTGAAAGCTTTAGCAGCATTTCATGTAAAATGAGGTATTTTACTTATTGGAGCTAATAATTAATTTAAATTAATTAAATAAAAATAAGTATCAAGGCCATCAGTGGTGGGTTTCAAATTCTTTTACTACCGGTTCTGTGGGTGTGGCTTGGTGGGCGTGGCATGGCTTGGTGGGTGTGGCTTGATGGGTGTGGCAGGGGAAGGATACTGTAAAATCTCCATTCCCTTCCCACTCCAGGGGAAGGTTACTGCAAAATCCCCATTTCCTCCCAATCAGTTGGGACTCGGGAGGCAGAGAATAGATGGGGTCGGGCCAGTCAGAGGTGGTATTTACTGGTTCTCCGAACTACTCAAAATTTCCGCTACGGGTTCTCCAGAACTGGTCAGAACCTGCTGAAACTCACCTCTGAAGGTCATACTTCCAACAACAGTGATAAATTTCTGAATGGGAAATTGTTTCTACTGATGAAAGAGCTTCTTCTTCTTCTTCTTCTTCTTCTTTTTTTTGTGGTAAGTGAATTTGAACAACTCATCAAATCCATCTCTACTAGAAGGCGCAATACCTTTGGGTTCTGCAGAGCTGCATCAGATTTGGGGAGGGAAATCGGAGGTCATGTCACAAAGGTAGATAAGTTGTAGAGGGCAGAAGGAAGGGCCATAAAGGAAAGGAGAAAGAGCTGCTACCCAGACAAGAGTCAGATAAAAGGGCCCAGAGTCTGGACCAACAAAGTAATACATGTAAACATCTCAGTCGAGTACCTCCCTAATTTTTTTTTTTAATTTGATTTATATGCCGCCCTTCTCCGGAGACTCAGGGCGGCTTACAGTGCGTTAAGCAATAGCCTTCATACTTTTGTATATTTATACAAAGTCAGCTTATTGCCCCCACAAACTGGGTCCTCATTTAACCTACCTTAGAAAGGATGGAAGGCTGAGTCAACCTTGAGCCTTGGAGAGATTCGAACCAGCAGTAAATTGCAGGCAGCTGTGTTAATAACAGGGTGCTTTAAACCACTGTAGTACCAAGGCTCTTATTCATGAATTCATGAAAAGATAAAGGGTGGGGAGCACATTCAGCCTTGCAAGTTTCTGTTAATACTGTACAGTGGTACCTTGGTATCATTAATTGGTTCCGCGGTGTGTGAGGACTACCAAAAATGACACATACCAAATTTTTCCCATAAGGAATAATGTAGTGAGTCAAAAGGCAGCCGACACCAACAAGTTTTAGCATTGAGTACCAAACAAACGATGAGTACCAGGATAAAATTTTCGCATCAAAATGCATTGAGTATCTCTTGAAAAAGCACCTTTGGGACATTGAGTACCAAGTTTGATGAGTTTCAAAGCAGTTGCGTGCCAAGGTACCACTTTATAGCTTTACAATAAAAATAGTACTGATTTATACTGTATGCCATTGGTTTCCTAGTCTGGTCTAACTTGAAGCGATTACATAAATTCAGTACCCATTTGGGAAGAGAGATGTCTGGGTTTACCCACTGCTAAGCGGGTAAAATGGTGCTTAGACTTTCCTCCTGCATGTAAAAAAGAGCTACCAAAGGAATGCTGATATGGAGCCTTTTTTTTCCAGCCTTGATCTGGAGAACCACACTGGCGTTACAATTTCTACCGGGGAAATTGTGAGTTTACTGCAGCAAAAACAAGGCTTAAGATAGCTTAAACAGTCAGTTTCATACGCTGCAGTCTGCTTTCCATATGTCATCATGTATTTTTAGTCTTCACGGTATCTGTTATTCCCGATGGGCCATTTTCCCCTCAGAGGTAATTACTTCTTTTTGTATCTACTTGTTCCAAAGAGGTGCAGGCTGTTTCTTCTAGCCCTCTGTGGCGGGAGAAGCATGCCTCTCTTGAAGAAGATTAAAAAGACAAAAGATGCTATTCCTTTAATATCCTGAAGGTAGATAAGATAGCTATGATTGATATATCAGATTACTGGAAAACCACTGCATGAGACATCACTCAGTTTTTGCCCAGTGTAATACTTAAAAGTGAGAAAGGAGCTCGACGATAATGAAGGATTTGGAGATGTTGTTAATAACTCATAGGAATGAATTGGAATGAATGGAACTTGCCAACATTAAGCCAAAAATATCTCCTGGAACTGAAGACAGAACACGGATATCTGAAAACATTTTTAGGGGGGGGAAAAATGGTCTTTAACCTTTCTTCCCTTTTTCCTGGAATGCAAAACTATAAACTAGCAATGGGGGACAAGACAGAAAAGAATTCACAAAATTTAATATGAACGCAGCAAAACACCCCCATTTGAGAAGAAGTTTCAAGAGTTCTTATTGCCTCTTCTCTTGAAAGCTGTAAGTCAAAGACTACCTGTACAAGGAGATGGAACTTCATCTCCTGGCCACAATCACCACCATGATTTTTTGGATGCCTTATTCCTCCTCCCCACCCCACCCCCCAAGTGACAATTCTGCTTTTTTTTTTCTTTGAAAGAAATTCTGAAAGCAAATTCTTATTCACCAAATCGAAGAAAAACAGGTAAAAAGAAAATATAATTTTCCTCCATGAGAAAATTTTCCTGCATGTTTCCAAAGATTAGTGCATTTTGGTTGGGGAAGTGTTCCTTCTGCTGTCCCTTTTTCTATCACTTGAAGGCTCTTGCTTCTCAGTCTGAAAGTCACTGGAGGTTTAACTGAAAATGGAAGATGCAGAGGCAGGGATATTTATTAATTTATTTAGTGCATGAAGATGTTACATTAGCCATGAGTGCTAATGCAGAATAGTAGCTTGGCTGCCTGTTTGCTAGCCCTGTTCGGTTCATGCTCGCACAC